CCCCCGCCGTTCTTCAGACTACCCAGGGGGTGTCGTCTGATCAGAAGCGAGGGACGGGGTGGGAAGGGGCATAGAGATAATGAATGACAAGCACACGTGATTAAGCTGGAGCACATTTTTTTCTTGCTTGTTTGCCAGTAGAGTAACAACAGCTCATGTGAGGGTAAGAAGACATGTGAAAGATGATTTCTCATTATCAGCCACTGCATGTGTACAGACAACTTTTACCTTAGCGGTTTCCATTCAGTAAAGGTGTTTTTTTTTTCCTTGTAGGTGATGGTGGTGGAGTGGAGGGACAAGGAGGGGCTGCTTACTATTTTGGACCGTAAAAAATATTTTTTACAAGTCTCAGAAGAACATTGATATTTATAAAAAATCACTAACGAATAAAACTTTGCCTGAAACGACTACAAACAGAAAATAAAACGAGTAATTATAAAATGTTGAAGTCCCCCCCCCCTCCCCAACCTCACCCCACCCTCAAATCGACATTTTAACAATTTAAGAGAAATGCTGCTTCGACCCTACCTGCCAGGACCAACCTGCTTAAGAGGGGCCAACCTCAATGCAGAGAGACGGAGCTGTCGACAAAAATTCTCACCACACAGGAATGGAACCCATGTCTCCTACAAGTGAGAGCAAAGCGCCTGACCACAACATCACAGACGCCGGTCTCAAAACAATAATAGGATGTGGAAACGGGGGGAAAAGGATAAAATATAGACCTCAAAGAAAGTCTCACCTGTAGTAAGCCACTTCCTCCAGCGGTCTCTGCCCCTCTGGCTGACCACTGTCCACTTGCTGCTGACTCGGTTCCTCAACATTCTGTCCATCGGCTGTCTGAGGCGGCTGGCCCCCTCCAATGAGGGACAGGCGACCCTGTGCGGTAGAGAAACGGAGCAATACAGACACTTCTGGCTGGCCCCTGCTGTTAGAGGGATGTAATCCAGCTCTCCTCGGTGTCCCGGCAGGAGTGGATAGGTAGCGTCCCTTGTGCCGATCGTGAGAAACCATGACGTGGCGTCGTTCGTACAAGTTTGCCTTGTTGTTGAAGACTTTGACAGATCGTATTTTTCCCAAGCATTAAAACGGACAGAGTAAATGTTGGATCTTCAAATCACTATGAACGTGTGTAATATGTCTTGGTATAATGGGACGTGCCACCACAAGACGCAAAGCAGCGGATGGTAATGGAGATACAATAGGTTCTGGTATTTATAACTAACCGTCAAAGCTAACAATCTACACCACTACAGTGAAATCTTCAGAATTGAAACGTTAATTGTCAACAAGCTGGTGAATCTGAGGAAAATACTATTCTCATAAAACGAAACTAATTTGTAATAAATCAAGCAGGATGTAAACATATGAAACCTGGCTCTGGAATAAACACAGTTGTAAAAGATAGAATGTGGTCATGGCCAGAAACTCTGGCATTGTGACTGTTTCGCTGGGTAGAGCTGGGTTGTTGTTGTTTGTTTGTTTGTTTGTTGTTTTTTTTTTGGGGGGGGGATTGTAGAGGGGATTTGGTTTTGATTTTGTCTTGAGTAATTGGGGGGGGGGGGGTCGAAAAGGGGGGGGGGGGTACGCGAACATATCTTAAGCTTTTCCCCAGCGTCACCTTTTTTTTTTATCCAACTTGCTGCTACTACGAGATAGACGGGCAATCCGGAGAAGCGATCTCCTTTTCCTCTTAAATACAGCCAAGTGCTAAGGAGAACTAATTTTCGTTTGCTGTCTCAAAGCTAAACGTAAACAGTTTGAACACGGAAAGGTCTTCTCTGTCACAACGCCCCCTAGTGACCTGTCTCCGGCTGACCTAGCTCTTATTACCATTAGTTTGCATTGCACAAAGTACTCCAAATTGATCATGTCCACTCTGGCTTTTCTCCCACAAAAATATCCAGTATCTAATCGATTTTATTCCAGAAAATCATTACGCTATCGATTTTTCTCTCGCTGTTCAAGCGATAAGAGTTCCAGCTGGAATGCTGGTAGTTAAGTCAGGGAAAATATATATATAATCTGAGAGGCAACAAAATGGTCGATGGTGTCAGATTGTAAATTGTGTAACAAAGCTAGATCTCCATTAAAGAAAAAAAGCACAAGCGTCTGATAATACTTTTTAATCTTTTTAATGAAGAGTGTACAAAAATGAACTTAATTCTGTAACTATCATGTCTAATATGTCCAAGGTAATGTAATGGAATAAATGCTGCTTATTGATTTAAGTCTTCAGAGCAACGCAGGAGCAAACTATGACACAATGATCGTCCTTGTTTATATCTATGTTTCAGGTTTAAAGATAATGGGTCAAAGAATCTTAAAACCGGCTGAATCCCACAAGCTACATATTATGTATTGATATAATTTTTAAAAGATTATGTTTGACCTTTATTTTTAGTATAAGGCACTCATTTTGATGCAATGAAAAGCTTGGAATTCCTCAGAGTGTCAGTGGGGTTTTATTTCAACTCCTGATTTTTCGTTTCGTTTACGTCTGGACACTTGGGAGGAAAATCAAAGGTCTACCTCCCCCATCCACTTTTCATTTTATGACTGAAGCCATGAGGGAATACAATACATCATATATAGCACAGTGATAGCTATCAACTGCGACCTAAACTTTCTCTAAAAACAGTGTTCCCTTTCTTCTTTTGTGTATCTATGTGAGTGACGTGAACTTTAAGAATAGGTATTTTAGCATGTTTCTTATTTCTTGTCCCTCTTAACGTTTAAATGATAGAGCCTGCAATAGACACCAGCTTTAAAAGTTGCGGTTTCTGATCTCCCTATATTCAAATATCAATGCCACTGGTCTTTTAGAAACAGATTTCTTGCTGTTGTACTCAGAGCATGTTTCTTATTCAACTGCCTTCTCAGTCTGTTTTTCAGAAACACAAAGCCGCTTTCAGAATTACACAATAGCTATACTGACATGCCGCTTGCTGGAATAAGATCACATCAACCTTAGCACATAAGAAAATAATAATATTCCCACTTCCAAATTGAATACAAGACTGCACAGTAGTAATTCAGTATCCTACAGAAAACAAACGATCAAGAAATCCAGACAGCCCCCTCAAAGGAAACAACGTTACTAATGCAAAGTGCGCAGTCCTTGCAAAGCGCGAAACAATTATTAGACGCCTAGCATTCCAGTGTTTGCCTAGATAGATCTGAATACAATGACTGAGAGCCTCAGGGTTAAAAGCTACAGCTCCGACCTCAACAATGCCTATCCGATTTTCGCATTAGCTGTTCCGTTTATCCCAAGCAGGTGGAAGAAGAGAGAGAGGTCATTAAGTTGTCAGGCTAGCAGAAATGAGATTGAATGTTTCGTTTGGTCTTTTTTGTGCCTTCCTAATTCCTTCTTAGACCGCACCTACTTCAGGCTGCCTTTTTGTTTTACTGCATATCTGTGTGTCCGCCAGCCCGTCCTATCAGTAATTTGTATGTGTGTCTACCTATCTATCTGATAAGATAGAAAACACTTCTCTATACGCCACATACATATAAAGTGCTCACCCTGTAAGTAATAATTTGCAGTTATTATTCTTTTTATGTTACATTGACAACAATGCTCATCGGTAAGTAATGTTTTAAATGCAGGTGTTTTTATACCCCCTTCAACTCTATTTAATTTAGATCATTTAGGCTTCGACCCTGCTTGTAGGGCCAACAAGGACAGAGAGGGATACGATGTCTATGCAGAACGTCCGAGATGCTGGATTAAAAGTTCTCACCACAGGGGAATCAAACTCAGGTCTTCTGCATGCGACGGCAAAGCGCCTAAACACTACACCAGAGACACGGGGGGTATTAAAATGTATACAATATTATGCTCTATTATTGTATTGTTATGCTCCCTAGCCAACAGTTCTCACCTGTGTGTCTAACCGAGTCGTGGCCCTTGTAGAGACGTCAGTTTGCTCCCCGGGTCGTGACCTCAGACTCATTGCCGTCTTCGACCTTGAAGCCAAGGTCATTGGAGTGATAGTCCCAGACACCAGGCCATCACTGGCGTCGTCATAACCACCGTTGTCTTTGCCTAGTGGGGCGGCCTCGAACGCTGCGCTCGTCGTTTTACTTCGTTTGTTGGATACTTCTTGAGGGAACAGGCGGTCAGCCAGCAGCCGGCGGAGAGCTGTTTTGATCCTTCGGCGATCCTAAAAGGAAATACCCGAGAAGGCAAAAGAGATTGGTGATGTTCTTTTGTTTGTTTTTGGGTTGGGTTGGGATTTTTCAGGGGTAGGGGGTAGTTGATGAGACCAGGC